AGCAAATTAATTTTGTATAAATAGAATAGCTTTTTGCTTATATTGTAAATTAACTCTCTTGTAAGTTCTAAAATACTTGTGAGTTTCAAGTAATAAATAAAAGAATCAACCTTTAAAACAAAAATACTTTTCCCTTCTAAGTATTCATTATCTAGAATTTGATTGTGAATTATTACACTAACTTGCGATTGAGTTCATCACTTAGAATAAATAAATTCTCTAAATTTCCTAAGTCCCTAAACACTTAAGTTCGTAAACTAAGTGAAGTAATTCCAAGGCATTTCAGATACCTGTAGGACGTAAGATTCCCTAAGGTTGTAAAGTCTAATAATAAGAAAGTTACTTACCGTAGCAAAGGAACTTAGATATATTACATGAAATAATAAGGGAAGATTATTCCCAGTGATAATATAGACTAACAATGATACTTTCATATATTAACACAAAGGGGAGATATTAAAGAGGTAAACATATTTAATTAATAGGATAACTAAAGTTGTTCACAAACTAACCTGCAGGTATCAATGAATAGGATGTTTTTCAACAAAAATTCTTGAGGTCAAAATTATTTTGACTATTGGTAAGGTTGATAAAAGTCTAATTGGTCCTGATTAATTTTAAAAAAATTATTAGTTTTAAAGATTAAATTTTTTTAAATATTATTATTATATTTAATTTTTTAATTAAAGTTACTTATTAAAATAAGTTTAAATTTCTTTTTAAAATTTCAAATATCTTTAAAATTTTAGACCTAGAACCTAGGTTTTAGGACCAGATTCTAAATTAAGTATATTTATTATTTTTAAGGAAATTTTTTTAATTTAAATTAATAAAATAATTGATATATAATAATTATTAAAAAGATTAATTTATTAAAATTATCTTTAAATTCTTTAAGACCAATTAGTACTTATTAAGACTTTTACCAGCCCTAACTATTGGAAGGTAAAAATCAAAATAGTCAAAATGACATCATATCACATGATTTTTTATATATAGAAAAAATAAAAAATAAAAGATGTATGATCTTGGTAAATATCACTTCGATTCGTATGAAACAATTAGCATTCGATTACTCGTGACTAGATGAATCTAATAAGCTAACATGCATTAATTTCAGATCATTCAATTTTAAGATAATTGCAATTGTATTATCAGCCAAAATTATAAATCAATAAATTTTACTTTAAATAAAGGAGTCTGGATTTTGAAATGTGATTGTAAATATCTCGAGATAAGCTGATCCAAAATCAATGAATGTTAGCTCATTAGATCCATTTAGTCACAAAAAATCGAATAGTAGTTATTTTATATAAATCAATGCTGTATTAATAAGATCGTACATTTTTATTTTTTTATTTTTTCTATATATAAAAAATCATATAATATGATATCATTTTGACCAATTCGATTTTTTATTTTGACTTTGACTTTCAAAGTCAAAAAATTTCAACTTTTGGGTTTTATTTCGACTTTATGTATAATTATACAACACTTGAGAAAAAAACTTACTTTCTTGAAACAGATTTTTTATCTATAATTTTTAATGTCCTTTTATTTACTTTTTCTTTTTTAACAGAATTAAGCCACATTTCTAATAATTCATATTCTTTTTCTTTATTATTTTTCAACAGAATTTTTATTGATAACAACAACGCTTTTTTTTGTTTTAATTTCTCTATTTATAAGAGAATATAAACAAACAAAGCAAACCTTCAATTATTGCATTTAAAGTATTTCTGATATTACTTTTTAAGTGTAATCATTGTGAAAGGAAATTAAAGAATCTATTGAATGAAAAAATAATTCACCACTTTATATCCTAAAATAAAGCAAACTCAAGTGATGACACCTGCCACTAAATGTGTGACGAATAAACTTTAGACAGGCAAAAATTATCTTCTTGACCTTATATGATTTACTTTCTTGATCTGCAATATTGATTCTATTATAAAATAACTACAAATTATATATGATCATCATAGTGGGTCAATAAAGTAATACTAGGAAAGTCAAGAAGGTAAATTTTACCTCTGCCAGTATTATATGAAATGCAGATCCTTATATAATAAGAAATATGTTCATATGATAATAATGGAAAGTATAAATGACTCATCTCACCATTTTAATGACACATTATACAAATAAAAAGATTGGCTCAACTATTTATAATGTGTTACTCTGATCAAAGTCAAAGAATATTATTTCTATAGAATTAGATCTACTAAGAAGCTAAGAAATGCTTTATGTATTTTATAGGTGAACGGTTACTGAGAAGTCAAGGAATACTTTCTATATTTTATAAGTAAATGATAACTAAGATGTCAAGGAATACTTTCTGTATTTTCCAAAGCTAAAACTGGAAAAATTAAGTTTGATCAGCCATATTTAGACAATAGGTCAAATCTGAACAAACAGTGAATAAAGCCAGACAAAATTCTAACCTAAAATAGACAAACTATATTTATTTATAATTTTATTATAAATTTTATTAAAATTATAAAATTTGTAACAATTACAATCCTATTATTTTATATTAATACAGGATTCCAGACATTTCTAAAACATTTAGAATTTTTCAAAAATTAATACTTTTTGCTTTTTTAGATTTTTGTGATTTCTTTGCATCTAATAATTTGATTTGAATGAAGTTTTTTTGATTGACTTTTTTTCAAATAAAAGTTATAATACAAATATAAAAATAAATAAATATTTATATAATAAAAAATAATAGTGATTTCAATAAAGTAGTTTGAATTTCAATTCAAAGATTCAATTCATATAGAGATTAAATATCCTAAAATTGGTAAAAAAAATCAGGATTTTTTCAGAGCATTACTCATTTTTCTGATAAAATAATTATCATTCTTTTAATTATTTATCCTATCTGGACTTCATCTTAATCCCAATTTTTCTAAATTTCAAGGCTTTGGTTTTGTCTATATTTAGGCTTTGTCCGGTTATAACTGTCCAAACCTGGTTTTCCAGTTTTTCCATTATGGGATTTTAGGTATCACTGGAAAATCCCATTTGTCCTGATATTTCTACTGGACAAATCCCAAAGGTTTGGGTTTGGACGGCAAGTATAACTGTGAAGTGGGTTATTTTGCCTTTTTAATTACAAGTTGAGGTAGTTTAGGTTGCAAACTATCCTTGAAGATAAACAGGAAAGGCATTAAATTTCCGCAATTTTTTCAGGTCTATTTAACTGATCTGAAAGGAAATCTATTCATAATTCGAAATAAAAAAATTCTTGGTAGGATAGGAGTAATAATTGGTTATCTATAGAAAGACCAAGTTTGTAGCTTTAATAATAACCATGTATATTTATTTGCCTTATCATTCTGTAAAAAAAATAATAAAATTTTCGAGGCTTCTGATTCATGTAGAGTGTGCTCAGAATTTATTTATCACAGACATTTGTTATATATTACTTATGATGTGTTAGTTATTACCTGATATAAATCAACATCTAAAGTATAATATATATATATACTGTAGTATAATAATATTAATAATAATATCTATTTAAATTAAAGGGTCTGGTACGAAATCCCGAAGTCATAATCCCAAATGACCGCAATATCGAAGGATCCAAATTATAATCCCGAGCGACCATTATCACGAGTTTAACGAAGTTTTTAAATTTCTCTTGACCACTCATTTGCTTTTCATATGGTCCAAATAATAAAAATGGATGAAAATTGCATATCGTACATTATTCTATCGAATTATTAAAATTATGATATTCGGGAATTTTGATCTTCGGAACCAATTTATTTAATTCAAAAAAATATTTATTATAAATAAATAGTTTAAGTTAAGCATCTTTTATTATTAATTTAATATAATAATATCTTATTATATTAAGGTATTATTCTAATTAGCTTTTAATATAATAAATAATTAAAATAAAATTTGTATATATAAGTTTTATATATGAGAAAGCTTAGGTTAAAATTCATATTTTTTTTATAAAGTTTGTATAATTTACAGAGAATGTTAAAACATAAAATGATATAAATGTAAATGAATAAATAATAAACGATTATTAATTTTTTTTTAATTTCGGCTTACAACTCTAACAAATATTTGAAAGTTTAAAAATTAACAACCCGGAGCATATACCGGGTCGGAAAAAAACTGCCCCGGACCCGATTTGTAATAATTTAAAAATTGAGAATTTTTTTACCAAGTAAACTTGAATAAAAACGGATTTCTTGTTAGCATTTGAACTTCCATCAAATAATCCTTTTCACATGTTTAACCAGCCCATAAGAACGTTTTGCTCAAAAAAACGTAAGTTTTTTGATCACTGATTGGTTATTTATTACTAAAAAACCAATTTGATTTCAAATTACTCTACCAAGATGTAGTCATAACTGACATTTTGCAACTCTCAGAGTTTGCCAACTTCGAAATGACGCTCGAATGACGCTCCAAAAAGCGTTATATAATATTCCGACTTTTTTGAATTTTTTTTACCGCAAAAAAAAAAAAAAAAATTATTTACCTTGTAAAAAAATATATCATAGTTTGATATCACTAAGTCACTTACGAAAACTGGGACTATTATAAATAAACTTTATACTTTCAAAATTATGAAAAAAAATTTTTTCAAAAAAATAAAAGCTATAAAAGAAGCTCCCTTGAATAAATTACATAAAAAAAAAAAAATCTCTTACGAAGAAAAAAGAACTCCCATGTTATCTTCTGAAGAAAAAGAAAGGGAGAAATCATCGTCTTTGGACAATTTCAACGACCCTTCTCGCTCGAACCAAAATGATGAGTCACATGACAGAACCCCACCACATTCTGCTGAACACGATGTTGATCAATCCGAAAAACAAAATCTCCAAAATCATCTTCAAAATCAACCTTCGGATCGTAAAAATGGTATGATTTCTCTTCAAGCCGATGATGTAACTCAAGATCAAACATCGGAGGAGTCCCAGAAAATCCAAGAGTCGCCCGAAAACGGAGCAACTTCAGATCAAGCATCAGAAAAAATCCAAAAAATCCAAGATTTGTCAGCAACTCGAGATCAAACATCAGAGAAGCTCCACAAATTCCAAAATTTTTCGCCCGAAAATGGAATAACTCAAGATCAAGCATCAGAGAAACTTCAGAAAATCCAAGATTTGTCGACCGAAAACGGTGCAACTCAAGATCAAGCATCAGAGAACCTTCGTGAATTCCAAGATTTGTCGCTCGATAACGGTGTTACTCATGATCAAGAGAAGCTTCAAGAAATCCAAGATTTGTCGCCCGAGAACGGTGCAACTCACAATCATGAGAAGCTTCAAGAAATCCAAGATTCGTCACCTGAAAATGGAGAAAAGCTTCATGAAATCCAAGATTTGTCTCCAAAAAATCATTTTTTCAGCGATGATCAATCAGAAACAGAATCGACCGATTTAACGATCAATTCTCGTGACGAAACATCCGTTGATAAGTACTGGGATGATGCCAACCCTTTTGAAGAGAAGTTTAAAGAAACAGGCGAATGGGCAACTTATGAAGGTACGTTTACTCAAAATTTTGTCGATTTTTGATTGTTTTCATTTGAAGGTTAATTTCTCGCCTGTTATCGATGCAAACTAGGATTGAATGACTTTGATAAAAATTTCGATTTTCAAAAAGGTGGTGAAGAATTACTTTTCGGTGGAAAGCTCAAAAACGAAATTCTAGAAAACGAAAATCAAAGGTCAATCGTAAAAACTTTACGAGATCGTGAATTACCCGATGAATATTTCGTCGATGGTCTTTACGTGGGACCAATTGAAGAGCTTCCTCCTTTCGGAAAACTTTGCTATCTGTCCGGTTATTATTCTGAACAATTCGTGAACCACATCACTAACGCGATTAGCATCATTGATCGTACAACTGGAATCCCAGTTGGGAGATGGTTCCATAGGTCCTTCTCACTTACAAGCTGGATGGGACTTGAGGGACGTGATATACGCGATCAAAGTGTTATCGAGTAGTTGGAGAGATTTTTATTTTGTCGAAAAAAACGTTTTTTAATGTTAATTTTTAATATATATATATATTTTTTTCGTTTTCGTAATAATTAATTTTCTTAATAATAAAAGTTTAAAATTTTTTTGTTAAATTTCTTCAAAATTTCTTAAATTTTATAATTGAAAACGTGTATATTCGTTGATATATGATAAAAAAACCAAATTTTTTAATGATGAAATATAATAATGATGCACTTCTAAAATGTTTTTCTTTTTTATAAGCAAATATGGTTAAATACATTGATAAAAATAATAAGCTTTATAAAATTACAGGTATCAGTAAAAGGTATTGTCTAAGAGTCTCTCAACATTTCATTACAAAAAGTTGTAAATTATTTGATTTTAAAATGTCTATAATAAATTATAATAAATGATATTTCACTTAATGATTCAACACCGATTATATATAATGGAAGTGAATGTAACTGCTATATTACAGAAGCCATCTAACGTATCATCCGAAAGTTGAATTCGCGTCAACAACTTTCTTGATGTATCATTTAGACTAGACTACATTGCTATAGTCCATAATAATAAATATGCGTGATAAATTGATATTAAGTAACTTTTTTCCCCGTACCGGGTTCAAATTATCCAAAGGTAATTTTAACTTTCTCAACCATATTGTTATCATATTGTCGTATCATGTGAAAGTGAATACTATAAAATGATAATCAATTGGAATTAGAAATTTTACAAAGTTAAAGATATTAAAAACGAACACGTACCTTCTCTTTACAATGATAATGTACAACAACACCGTTGGGAAATACAGCAAATACACTGGAAAAAAAAATTGTCGTGAGCGATATCGCAGGATTATCAAAAACTGAAATGTAAAAATGAGAAACACTGACCTGTGTCCAATACGACGTGTACATTGTGGACACATCTTATCCTCATCAATTTTAACTCTCCGAGATCGATAAAACATTAATTGTTCTTCAACCTAATTGTTTGTATTTTTATTATAATAATATTCGCGAAATAGTTATTACCGACACATAAAAAACTTTACCTGGCGTTTATCAGCCAATAATAAATTCTTAACGATCTTATTCATATTTCTATTCCTATTATTTTCCCTAATATATCTTTCGACAAATTGAGATAATTCCGATACTTTTGTTGTGTGCGGAAGCATATTCAAAGCCTAAGAGGAGGACACCAAAAGGGTAATTATAATCATGAAAAAATTAAATATCAATTTTTATAATAAGGTTAGTGAACTTACATCAGAAGCATTAACATAAGAACCGTGCCGCGATAATAACCGTATAGCTGGGTCCAACATTATTTTTTCACCATTATTTGGTCGTAAATATATTTTCAATAATGATATGAATACATTTTTTGTAGGATCGTCAGTTTCAATATAATTCTTGATGCAATATCTGTTTTTTTTTTTTTTTTTACAAAACAAATTTTTTAAAAAAAAATAGATTAGAAATTACTGAAAGATTGTAGGCTTATAAAGTATAAAATTCATGTATATCGTACTCCTCTGCCAATTTCTCACTCTTTAACTTGTGTACATAAATAATTAAAGCTTGATCATGTTGACCAATACGACTCAGAAGAATTGCGCGGGCTTCATAAAAATCTAAGTGTATGATAATTATTGACCTTAGTTTGAATTCTTTTCAACAAATATGACACGATAAATATGATGAAATAGTACACCATCTAAAGGTAGACGCCCTAGTATTTTTTCTGCTTTATAAAAAGTTGAATCATCCAAAAATTTCAACAAACTTCGATTGGTATCTTTAATCTCTTCCAATAAGGAATCTAGAATCAATGCTAATTGTTAAACTTATGAAAATTATTATTAAAAAGAAAATCGTTTTTTTTTTTTAGAAAAAAATTACCTATGACCTCTTCTGAATTCGAATTTTGCTTTTGCGATTCTAAATTTTGAATCTTGGCCAGATATATGAAAACCAATTTATTATGATAATCTGGAGTTCGATCTTTAAGCTCATATATGATATGTTCTAAATATTTTATACACAAATCGTATGAAATATCTTCGAGATATTTCAATACTTTATCTCTTGGAAGATTCTCGACCTCTGGATGATCATCAATAAAAATCTATAGATAATTTAATAATGAGTTTCTTCGCTTTTTTTTTTTTAAAAAAAAAAGGAGGAAAAAACTCACTTCCATTCCTTCATCAGGATTGGTTTGTAATACCCATGTTGCAAATTCTAATAATAAATCAAAATTTTCCGATCCAAGTCGTTGAAGATAATATACAGTATGAAAGGTGCCAGTCATTGGACCTTCTGAAGATTGTCCAAGCCTAAAAAATAATTGCATAAGCAACATTATAATATAATTAAGAAATATATTAACTCCATATACCGTAACTAACTTCTTTAAAAGTTCCAGAGATTTTCGATGTAAGCCCTTTCCATGATACAAGTCTTTTAATTCTCGGTATTTCTAAATAATTTAGATATTAATAAATTATTTACTAGATATATATAAATTAGAAATAACGTTTTTAATATATTAAACATAATTTTTATTTATATACCTTACGTTCTAATAACAGTCCTTCTACTTCCTCGACATTACAATAATTATTTACACGAAGAAGTGGACCAACCAATGCATCATTGATGACCATATAAGATTTTAGGAGAGTTGTGTCTACCAATTCTGCGAGTTTCAAAAAGTGATTCAAATCACCATTTACTAAATTAGTTTGAAATGATTGGGAGCCTTGGTTATAATTAAGAACTTTAAATAATTTTTGCCGGCGATCTGTCAAAAATTTTATTAATGTATGAACCGCTTCTTCCAAAAGTTTTCCCTCTGAATTTAAAGCAAATTCAAAAAGAATAAAAATGATTAAGACAAGCCAAAAAAAGATATGTTTATATACTCAGAAAAATAATTATTTCTTTTAAATATATACCAAGAACTTCCGAATTTTCAGCGTCTATTTCATTTTCCAAAACAACTTCTTGATCATCATTCATTTCAACGAGAGAATCTTGCTCATTATCTTTAAATTTAATCTCATCTGAAGATTTAATAATTTTTGGACGTTGTATAGGTTTATAAAGAGCTCCTGATATTGATGGGGGATATAATGCAACGACTTCTGCAGGATCTGCATCTAAATCTTGAAAAATTGTAATGGCTTTATCAAACTCATTCTGACGGAAAAGATAATGCGCGCGAAGTCCAAGTATTTCTCGAAGTTTTGCATCCTAAAACGACAAATGTCATGAGTCTGAGTTAGCATATTACGATATTGCATATGGTTATATATATTATTTATTATTACCTTGTCATCAAGCAAAGTTTGTCTGGTTAGACTTAAAGCTTCCTCGAATTCATTTTGTTCAACCAATTGATCAATCTATGAAAGAATACAATTATAAAATGAACATAATCAATACAACTTGTAAATTTAATTCAATACACATTTATCTTTTGTACCTGTCTTTCGAAGCTTAACGGAATGAATCTCCAAGCATTACCATTACTGGCAACATATAAATATTTGCCTTGGTTAATGAGTCGTGCTTGAGGAAGTTCGTCAGTTTGGACCAAAGTTTGGGTTATAATATTCCTGACTTCCACGTTTTTCGGTAATATCGCAATAAGATACGGATGAGAATATCCTTGAATTATAAGGAGAATTAGTGCATAGATTACCCAAATGACAGGTATAATAAATTGTGCTTAATTCGCACCTATTTCTTCTGGCGTTCCTGACCAGTCAATTTCTGCCTTCCGAGTAGGTTTTCCATCAAGTCCAACAATAATACTCTCATCTATTTTAATAAATGTTCATAGTCAAATTAGATTTGAATGTTTTTAAAGTTTATAAACATGACCTTTCATCAAGAAACTTTGGTGTTCACAAAAGTACAAATATGAGTTAAAGAGTGAACACTTAAAAGTAATTCGATTAAAGGTTTTTTTTTTTTCGAATTCATGGTATCAAAAACAATGAAACCTACTATCTTTAACCAACAGAATTTCATTATTAGGTAATCTCGTCAATAACGGTTTGTTGATTTTTGAACCAATGGACATTCCCATATAACTAAATGAGGCGGCTCCTGGCGCATTATTCAAGGTCATTATCTCGATTTTCTCACCAGAATCGACATTTATCAAATTATATTCGTTCGTCAACCCAAGACAAACTTTATCGTCACTAACCCAAACCATTGTTTTAATCCTATCATGAATTAAATATTCCTGAATATTATATTTTAAGGATTAACCGAGAGAATGAAGATATCAACCATCATTGAGGAACAAAAAGTGGTATCAAATTTCTTAAAGTACCTTCGTATCAGTGAATTCTAAATCCCGCCAGGTAAAGACAAACAATTTTTTTTTTACACCGACTGCTAGACGTGTTATTGGAATCCCATAACTACTTTCATCCTCACTGGTTTCAACATGGGAAGTGGCAAATATATTTGCGCCTCGTATATTAGACAATTGCCTTTTTAATTCAAAGGTGTTTAAGTCATAGATATTTATATGTCCATCTTAGGAATGATTAAAACATAAATAGGGTATCGTAATGAATAAAATCATAATTACGATCTAATTTGATATGATAAATGAAAAAGTTATTGAACACTATTGATGATAAATACCGGAAAGTGATATTAATACGTCAATCTCCTTAATGATATCCAATTGTTCAATGGGCTTTTTGGAAAAATTCTTAAAGGCTTCCTTTAAGTCTACCTTCAACCCTTCATCCCCTATTACAGGTGAATGAATTTAGCAAATTATTAAATATTATCGAGCTTTTATAAATTCTCACGGTTATCCACATACCCAAAGGCTCTTTTACTTCATAAACGTACAAGGCACCTGTGGAAGTTCCTATAAATAACTCCCGACCTTAATTTTTTTTGAAATTAGTAAGCATTTTTTTTTTTAAAAAAACTATCGACAATAAATAGAAAACATTATTAAACAAACCAAGAGCGAAAATCGATTCTATTTTATATGGTAATTTATCTAAAGCTAATGAAACATTGAAAGCATTGTACATTTCGACAGTGTATTATTTAACTAGTTTAGACCAGTTAGAGCCAAATAAAGAAAAAAAGGTATTTCGACTAATTAACGTTTTTTTTTTCCTTTTTTTTAAACGGGGTTTTCTAACTATGCAAAATGTCAATCTATTTTTAATAGATAAAAGTAATCTGATCTGATCAACTATTTAACTATTATTTATACTTAATGATTAAGTTTCTGGTGATCCGCTTTGTCTTAGATCAGTTAAATTAATTTAAAGTACAAATACGCCATACGCCATGCAAGAGGAGCATAGCATTATTTATCATATTTTCAAAAATTTAATTAGCATTTATCTACATCTGATCATTTTTATTTTACTTTTAATGATATAAAAAAAGATAATTTGTATTGAAAGTTATATGATTATTAAATTTCTATTGAGAATTCCTAAAATTTTTATCATTATTAAGACATTTTTGAACATTAAGATAATTATTAATAAATAAAAACTAATATACCAATAATTATTTTGTAATACAAAGTTACAGATTAATAAATATTTCCATTTCTCTCCTGCCTGGTCGAGAATTTCAATCTGAATTATTGCTACTAGAAGAGCTGTTTTTTTCATTATCGGCCTCTTCACCCTCATCATCATCACCCTCATCACCTTGTCCAACTTCAAACTTCTTTTTATTAGATTTACCATGCGAAAAAGCAAATGGTGTCGTCAAATCGCCTTCTTCAAGTCTGTAATATAGATTATAATAATTTAACACTTTATATTAACCGTAATAATTATATAATGATACTTACTTCCGAAATTCATAATTTCCTTCTCCATCAAAGCGAAGAATCCACTCATGATATTTAACTATCGAATAAAAAAAAATGAATAGGTTAGAGTTGTTCCTCTAACAAAAAAAAACAAACAAACGAAAACCATGCTAATATTTACACTAAATCGATAATCAAGGCATAATAAAAAAAAAAATAAAAAAAGATTAATTGATTAGTCTTTTAACAAATTTAACAAATGATAATCGAAAAGCTTTAATTACCAATGAATGCCTATGAGATACAGTAAATAATGTAATTCCCAAAGTATGAGCATGAGTATACATAATGCCCTCAACATCGACACTCACTGCACTAGTACATTCGTCCAAAATAGCCTATACGAATTTATAAAATTATATAAAATCAATATTTCGATCAAAATAAGTATCAAACTAAAAAGCAAATTTCTTACAAATTGAGGACGGTGGTAAAAAAGTCTAGCCATAGCTACTCTCTGCAATCGAATATAAAAAAAAAATTAAATTAAATATTTAAAAATGATAAAATTATTTAAAATATTTAGTACCTGTTTTTCGCCACCCGACAAAACATCGGCCCAATCTTGCACTGCATCCCAACCTCCATCTCGATCAACCAAATATTCCAAGTGTACGACATTAAGCAATTCCAATAATTTATTATCGTCAAATCCCTTGGAACGTGCTTGAGATTTTGTGTCCGGATAAATAATCTATTTAACAAATATTAGGTTAAAAGAATAATTTAACAAATTGGCAATTATAATATATCATTTTATACCTGATCACGGAATGTGCCAAGTGCCAAGTATGGTTTTTGAGGTACGTAAAACAATTTGGATGCTGCTGGTTTAGTAACAGTACCATCTATAAAATGAAAATTTATCATAGTTAATATTTTAATATATTTGAAATATTTGACCTAAAATAAAGTATCTTACCAAAAAGTGGCCAGAGATTGCCAAGGATACGGAAAAGAGAACTTTTCCCCTACATTGAACATAACATGTTAATTTTATACGATAAATTTACATATACCGAGGTTAAATCTACATACACATCCATTAGGTCCGGAAATGAGACAGTTCATTCCCTTTTCAACTTTGAAAGATAATTCTTTCACCTATCATGTAATTGACAGATAAGTTAAGCAAATTATAAATTGCGATGGATAAATAAAAACAAATGATGAAACATACCAATACGTCATTATTTGGTGTAACAATTGGAACTTTATCGAAATAAATAACACCATCTTTCGTAATAATTTTACCCTTGAGGTCGTTTGGTGTCACCGCTGTGATTGCAGAGAAACAAGTCAATAAATAATCGGATACATGAAGATAATTATTAAAAGTTAAAATGACCTATTACCTTGGTTAACATTAGCTTCATTTGAATCCTTGCTTACCATAGTACGTTCGTACCGACCTTTATTGACATCATCAAGTACATCGAAAAGTTCTGCGACACGTGACTGTGAAGTCGTAATATAGGTTCATCAATGACATAAAAATTAATAAACCGATCTTCAAAAAGAGAACGATCAACATAAATATATAGTTTTTAAAAAACACACAGTGTATCCTGCAAATCTAGTCAAATCGCGTCCAGCAAGAATTAATCTGCCTACAGCTTGTGATAAATTTACAAGGTAACCAGCTAAAATAAATATTTTTTTTAAAAAAAAAAAAAAATAAGAATAATAACATCAATATATAAAATCGTTATATTATTATGTTAATATGATGAATAAAAAAAGGTCTTACAATTTCTTGAATAATCTTCCATAATCTTTGTTGGATCGGCGTCAAGCTTGCCCATGAATTCCGTAGCTTTAAAGATAAAAGAACATTAAATTAACCATGACATTAAACCTAGGGAAAATATTTCTTACATACCATATTTTGGATCAAATACAGGACGTGCCAACAGACTGTAAAGGAAATGATAATTTAACAAAAGTGTGTATATCTATACGATTTGATAATTAAAAATAGGCAACTTACTAATATGCAGTCATGGTTGCACAATATTTCACCAATACTGAATCGAAAATTCCATTAGCGAATCGGAGTCGATATATTTTTTTCACATGTCGTACTATCTTATCAAAACTTCCATTTACGACAGCTTTCTCCCGTTCACCACCACCATAAAAGGCAATTTCTTCAGAATGAGTAATGATTCGTGACTAGAAAATCAAATAGGTAGTTAATATCACTATGATAATATTATTAAAAAAAAATTCAAAATGAATGATCTTTACGTGTGTGAACCTAAAATCACCCTCAAGCTTTTGCTCTATGGCAGTGTCTGTTTTATTAATAAAGAGTTAGTCATATAAGATTTTTTTTTAAAAATAATTAAAATACGAATTTTTCTCACATTTTCCGAAAGGCGGTGAAATCGCACGTAAAAGAGCACCGGATACCATGAAGTACGCGATCATATAAATAGGAGCTAAATGGTGATGATGATATAAGTTAATTGAATTAAAATAATCAAATGATGTAGCATTTCTGATTAAATGAATTACCCTCTCGACCACTGTAAGACATTAGATATTTCGAAATAAATTATTAACATATTAATGGAATGTATATTCAAGAAAAAGGATTAAACATGAATTGATGAAATTCATACATGGCCTCCCCCAGCTTATACGCAAATAAGACCATATCTACTATGGGTTTTGCAATATCTGAATATAAGTGACTTAGATTTTCCGCAAATTTATCTATATCCTAATTTAAAAAAAAAATTATTCAAGACTGTCAATCTTGTAGATTTAATACATTAAATTTAGAATTCATACCTGCGTTAGCAATTGGTCTGCATTCTGAATTCGGTTATCGATATTCGATATTTTATAAAAGGTAATGTCTTTTAAATATTGTTCATTGGCATACTATAACGACGAGAAAAAATTATTTAATTATATTTAATTATAAAGTCATTCATCAGTTTAAAGAACAAATAAATTTACCTTTGTAAGTCTGGTTCGGAACGATAAAGCCAACGCGCTTATCGTAAGTTTCAATGAATTGTTAACTACACTCATTGGCCACTATTATAATTATTATAAACCTGATTATTTATCAACGCGTAATATTAATTAATTAATTAATATCGAATAGAATAATCACCATCATAAATCCAAACTCGACAACAGCCCGAGCAATAAAAGTTTTCCGGTCACGAGATACAATCGCCTTAACAACGTGTCTATGTAATTAATGTAATTTTAGAATAAAATACTATTAATGTGACTATAAAATAGAGAATATACTATCGATCAACGCACCCGTTAAAACCAGAAAACCTATTAAATGTAACATCAAATAAATAAATAGTATTTAATTATAATTAGAAAGAAAATAAATAATACCATAATTCAAGTATAAAGGGTTTCGGAAGAGAATATAAATGAATTCCTATTTTATTGAACCAGGTCAAATTGATGCAATTCTACACGCTCCTTTCTATTGATAAATGATTACCTTCATCAATAATCTTACCATATATCAAGCCAAGTGCGAGCTATTAACACCATCGCCAAAGCTACAAGCAAAGTAGCTTCCTTACTAGCAATTCCTAATAATAATTGAATTTGAATTTTAACAAATAACACGGTAAAAAAAAAAAAAATTTTTTTTTTAAGGCTTACCAGGGATACAAATGGGTAATAATTTTTTTATCTGCGATACAAAACGCGAATCTACACCAATTCTCTTGTGCTTTCGATTCCTATTATCTTGACCGTTTGCAGCTTTCGAGACTTGTTTCTTTCTTTCTTGTTCGACATACTGCTTGATTAAATATACAGCAACAACGCCACCAACGAGTAAAACTGAACGTTTCTTTGATGAACTTAGTGATTTGGAGGATACTTCGGTTGGTATAGACATAACCTGCCCCATTATGGATTATTGATTAGAAGAATGGTATGCAATTTGCAACATCAACCATATCGTTTAAAAACTCGAGTTTTTTTTTTATCAAAATTTTTTGATATTTGATTTGTGAAACAAAAAATTACGTCAGCTGCATCATTAAAAGGTAAAGATATTCTTTAGTTTTCTTATTAAATAATTTTGTGATACATTTGTGAAAAAATATTACTAAGGACCAAAACATGACGCAGTCGTAAAATTATCTGACAATTAATTTTTATTATTATTATTATTCTTTTATTAATAGTAAACCATCGCCAAAAATTATATTCAAAAATAACTGGCATTCTCATCCATTTCAATAGCAAACCATCTTTGAAACAGTGTTCGCAAATCAATCATATCATTGCCTTCGTCAACAATGATGCCACTATCCGCAAGTAATCCCGGTTCAAAATTCAAATCTAAATTTACAAATTTGAATACTACAGAAGAGTGTTCACCATCCAGTATTACCATGTCAAACCTAAAGAATATATATGAATGATAAACATCAGCTTTTAAAATAATTATTACTGTAATATATTAAAGGTATATTTACCTAGTAATATATTGTCCTATGTTTACAGTCACTTCTAACATCGGAAACCCAGTCAGCAAATCTTTCTCGACTGAATAATTAATGTCGTCGATATAGTTTTTCCAAATTTCGATTTCTGTTGGATCATGACCATCTTTTTTTAAGCCAATTAAAATTTTATTTTTTTCGAGCGTTACGTAACAATCAGGTTCAGAAAAAAAAGCTAATCCGGGACCAAATGTAATTGAAGTTATTGCGAGTTCCATGGGAAATATCGATGGATTTTGAGATGATGTAAGGTTTGACTTAGAAATAGGATTATCCGGAACTGGTTCAGGTTCTATAAATATGAAAATAAAAATATATTATATATATTTGATTTCAAAAAGTATTATATTTATATAAACAATATTTGCCTGAAGTTTGTGCTCGGTCTACGCCTAAATTGTAACGAATCAAAAATAAGTTTCGGATACAATAAAAAGGGAATGGTAAATGAAATTAAAAAGAACGCACCTTTCTTTGATGAAGTTGAAGCTCTTCGACCACGCTTTGATGCTCCAGCAATAAAACCACCACGCGATACACGTGATTTCTCAGCACGACTTTGACCTTCGTCATCATCTGTAAGCGGCCGGACCGGATTTTTTGCAGGCGAAGAATTGGGAGTATCCTTACCAATAGATATAGATGGCTTTCTTGATTTGGAAGGTTGAGCGACTGGTGTAGATTCAATATGCTCAGTATGTTCATTATCTTTTGGGCTTTCTTCAACCATAATTTTTCCTTGTTTCCACTTTACACCACATGCATTACACAGAGTTCCTGAACAACATTTTGTTCAAAATTTAACATATATCAAAGCATTAATAACAATACAAATCATAAGTAACTTTACCTGGTCCTTTGGGTCCTCTTCTCCACATTGGGGTATATTTGACGCCGCAGTACATACAATTCTTTTTTTCAGTGATATGCTCTACAGCACCGGTTGAATCGGTAATGAGTCTAGATTTTTTTGTCGTATACTTCCTCCTATTATCTAAGTGAAATTGAAGTATAATCAACTATATATTTACTAAATACTTAAAGGATGCTAGTTTTTTTTAAAAAAATGAATTCATACTATCATTTTTAGAGGAGTTCTTCGTTTTCCTAACTTTTTTTGTAGATGTCTAAAAAAAAATTATGTATATATTTATTTGATATCAATTCCATATATTCCAAATTGTATAAACTTAAAATTTTATTTTTTCTTAGCGTTATAATTACACAATATTCACTTACAGGTACTGTCTTTTTCGTCGCTTTTCGTTTACCTCTTTTCCCTTTACCAAATTGTAAATCGAATTCCATATCTGAATCTTCGTTTTTAATATCAATATCAATTTCCTCTTCCTCCATTTCACTGGTAGCTACCGTTGTCATCCAAGTTCTTTGATATTTCTAATAAGAAGGTCAGATATTAAAATTTAAATATTATAAAAATAGAATTTATTCTTATAACTCACCTTTACTTTTTCCTTATAAAAGTCCCGAGGAACGCGCATTTGTAAATAACGTTCTTTACATTTACGCTTAAGCTTGAAATGAAAACCAATCGTGTTCTTTAGATTATTCAGTAAAAAACGTAACGTAATTTAAAAAATCAATGTATTCACACCTTTTCATCCATTAAACGTTCAACCGTATCTTCATCGTTTACGGTTCTACACAACGCATTCCATATCTCTTCGGTTACTGATTTTATACTAATCTCCCATTCTTCAGTAAATTTCTTCGGGTCATCCACATCGGGAGGTGAAACATAACTTGCAATTACCTATTATATCTTTAAATTTAATCGCAAAAAAAAAAAAAAATATGATTTGGAAAAAAGAGGTTTTTCTCCTTTACCTCATAAACTTTGGGACAATGTAATCCCATATCATCTTCTGGATTACGTTCAATAATAGCATCTTTGGGAAATAAAAATCTAGTTTTACGATCATCCTTAAATGTTAAAATTACTTCACATCTTACTGCATGCTCATATGCAGTAGACGCGGGAATTTCTACAGGTTGATTCCACATTTTAAATTTGTTAAGTGACGCATAATGAGCAGATTCTGTGGCCACCAACATTCTTTGTTGTGGTAACGGATTAACCGATTGTTTTTGCTGTGGAGAAGGTTCGATTACTACATGATTCTCCGGAGAGAGACCAAGTTGCTTCAGTTTTTGTGATATTGACATCGTTTGGATTTGTTCGGGAGATGGTGTTGATTGGACCTCCTGAACCTGCTCAATTGGTGAATCTGATTGTATCATCTGAGAATCCGATTGTGCTATTTGGTTTTCTTCATTAGGAGGAGATGATGTTTGAACTGAGTGTTCGGAAGATAATGAAATTGTTGGGATCGAAAGATCTTTTGGTGAGAGATCCTTCACCGAAAGATCTTTCTCCGGAGTTTGATCTTGTGAAAATAATTGCCCTGACTGATATTGAGGTGATTGCATAGTCTTTGATAAAATTGAGGAAACATTAGGACGTTGTTGAAGTAACGGAGCATTAAGAGATGAATCCACTTGAGATGAAGTATTAGACTGTGATGCCAATAGGTAACTTAAATGATTGATTAACGCATTTTTCTGTTCTTGCGATAAGTTTGGAGCCGTCTCAGGTTGTGATAATTGTTTTTGTATGGCGAGTATCTGTGAAGGGTTGTAGGTTTGAAGTAATGTCTGCATAACACTGGTTAATTGAGGCGAGAATTTAACAGAATTATTTGAGGGTGAAGGAGCTGTATTAATTTTAGGTTGTTGAGAAGATAAACGCGGTATAGGCATCCGCTGTTGATTAGTTGATACTTGAGTTAATTGGGATACCTGCGATACCTGTGATTGTGGTTGTGGACGGGGTTGTATTGCAGGCTGCTTATATATACGAGAGGATGAAGATTGTAAACTTGCGGTTGTTATGGGAGAGGGAGTTAAAGGTCGAATTACGGGATATGAAGTCTGACCAAATGTTGGTTGTACTTGTGCTTGATGTACTGTTGTAAATGCTAATTGTTGAGACTGTTGAAAAAATTGTTGAGCTTGCTGTTGATTCTGTTGCAAATTTTGTGGTAGAGCTTGTTGAGAAAATAAATGTGACGCGTCATGTAATTGATTTTGATCATCTAGGAGAACTTGCTGACTCACAAATAAAAGTTCATGAACCTGAGTATCTAAATACAAAAATGGACCTATTGATAAAGTGCAAGTTCCAAGAAAACCTGTGTATGGAATCGGGAGTGAATTATCAGGTAAGTCAGGATGAAAAAAAATTTGATTTTGAATGGAATATTTGGTAAAAGAAGAATTTAAGTTATTTTCGCGAGATAATCGTAAGGCAGGAAATAATATTCCACTATTATTAAATCATACAAATTTTATTAAATATTGAATAATCTTTGGAAGGAAAAAAAAGGAGAAAGAAAGATTTTCAAATAGATCTATTACCTCTCTCTAACATTGAAAAAACCATTTTGATCATCTATTTCATCGTCAGGTTTGATTGTTGTCACAGGGAACTCGCTCATGTGTTTTCTTTTGACACTCATTTTAGCTTAGATCGTTGCGCGATTCAACCGATCTTTCGAATTTACAAATGTAGCAAAGAGGGTAAGGTCGAAATCGTCGATCGTGAAAAAGCAAAATTGTCTCCAGGTTGAAATGGTAAAAAGTGTGAAAATTTTTTAATTCCAAGGGTGACCTGTATGACAAAAAATGTTGTAATTACTAAATATGTAAAAGTCGAAATTTCTCAAAAAAGTATATCAAATGAAGATCAATACCAAATACATAAGGAGACAGTTTTTTTTTTTTTTTGAATTTTCTTTTCGAACACGATTTCTAATAAATAATCATAACATTAGAAATCAGTAATAATAGATAATAATAATAATTTAATAAATAAATACGGTAACAATAACAACAAATCTTGTTTCGCTTGAAATAATAATGCGCTCCGACATGACAAGGACGAATTCAGATAAGTCGTAGAAAAAAACAAAGTTAATGAGACCTCAGAAAAAATTTCACCATCACAACATGGATAGAGTTTAATGTAAAGAATTAGGAGCGAGAAACCAATTAAATTAGAATCTTCTTTATAGTGACTTAATTTAGAAGTTAAACAAATGATTTTTAGGTTAGATTGCAACATTAAAAGAGATGAAAAGCGAATAAAGAGGTATGTTTTAGTAGTTTTTTTTTTATTCTGTCGATTGGATTGATCAATTACGGTTCTCAAATTAACTTGTTCCTTTTTTTTTGGGAAAAGAATTCGCAATCACGTGAATAAGTTGTTGAAAATCGAAGGATTAACTTTTCCATTTAAAATAATATAAGAATAAATTTGTTTTTATAAGAAAATGATCTAATTTTTACATCATTCTTTAAATCAATGGATGCTAACTTTATTAGGTTAAATACGTTTCGAAATTAGGCGCAGTTATTTCGAAAAAGGCTTATATATAGCTGCGGATACATTCATGAACTTTGATTGGCTGTTCCAATCGCAAATAGCCACGACCTGGTGACGTAGCAATGATTTTGGGCAGTGCACAAAGAGATTTGTGGAAACAATGATCTGATGGAACCATACGATCAACTAGAAGCAGTATACAAATCTGTGGTTTTTGTTTTTCTCTCAACTCAAAACAATGTCCTTGCCACCCTTTACCAAAAACTAATTGACATTTTTAACTTTAAAACTATTTCTTTCACTATTCGTTGGCTTTAAAGGCATTTTTTTTTTTCCTTTTTAATTTTCCTACAGTACTTTACTGGTAAAAGTCTGGTAAGTCTTCTATTCTTTGGTATTATTATGCAAAGTACTTTCAAGTTTTTACTCTAAAATAACAAGATGTTAGCACCCACTACCTTTTTCAAGTTGAATAAAACGAAGAAATGGAACACTGTTCAGTCAGTGAGTTATATTTATTTATTTTATTTAAGGGTTACTTAAAAAAAAAAGAAACAAAGTGTAACAATTTGATGTCGGATGCTCAAATTTCTTATATATTTATTATTTGTCTATAGTCGTTTCTTCTCGTCGTAACTCGGTCGATTCTACTGCTTCGACTGAGACCATGTCGTCGCATACAACAACGATATCTACTACACCACCTAGTGAGTTAGAAACACAAATTGCACTTCATTCAGCTGCAGCCGCTGCTCTTGCTTCGGCTCAAACCTCAAGAACACATTCAGCTGATGGTAGTGCAGGTTCAAGTCACAGAGAATCAAAAAGACATGGTTCTAAACCTCCCCGTCAACTTCAATGTTACAATTGCGGTATAAAAAATACACCACTCTGGCGTCGAACACCAGACAGAATGCATTCACTTTGTAATGCATGTGGGTTATATTTTAAACAATATCACGTTCATAGACCTTTACATATTATACACAAAACTAGAACAACGTCGGCAAAATCTTACCCTTATATCTTACCAGCATCGAGAGATGATGATGATGACGATGACGATGACGACAGCGAAGATGACGATATTGTCATGGATGATTATTCTGACCAGTCATCAACTACGGAGCAAATATTAGGTCATGAATCAAATGGCGAAGATATAGCACTTGATTTAGCGTACACAGATTCACCGACACCTACTTATTCAGTATCATCAACGACAGTTTCTGAAAGTTCATGTATGCGCCCAACCGTAACGCAAACATCCACACCCGTTGCGTCACCTACTTTACGACCCGCAAACATGTCACCTTCACCTTTACCAAATACATTATCCTTACCGCCTCCATCATTACATCCTTCAGCCACACCACCTTTACCGTCTACCACGACAACACCATCGACGATATCATCAACGATGGCTGATATACAAATCCAATGTGCGAATTGCGGTCAAACACAAACACCTTTATGGCGAAAGAATGATAAAGGGCAACCTTTGTGCAATGCTTGTGGATTGTATGCTAAGTTGCATAATAGGGACCGTCCTATCGCTATGCGTAAGTCAAAAATTCAACGTCGTCGTCGTGATTGGAATAAATATGGTCATATTGATGATGGTCATAATACTGAAGATTCTATCGATGGAACGAATTCAACGGTTGGAGCATCAAGTAAATCGTATCACGCTATTCTTCCTAATCAACGACCTATAATGCCCATGACTATGTCTCCGAGCCAAATGGCTCCTGCACTCCTAACTTTGGCTACGGCAGCTACTTGTCAGCGAGAACAAATACTTTTAGAAGAACAACGACGACAACAACAGCAGCTGCTACATTTAGATACCGTAGATGAATGTATGGATCATAGGGATCATGGTCCAATTATTTCCTCTATATTATCACCACCTTTTGATCCCGACGAATCAAAGTTCAAGTCTATTATAGATCAAATTCCTAGAAAACAGGTGGAGGAAATTTTGAAAGTATTTGAAAGACGATGTGAAATTTTGAAAAAGGTTTTGGGCGATCCATGATAGGAAACAATATCTTAATTTCTTATCTGTTCGTCTATATTCCAAAGCTTATGTTGCAACAGGTGCAAATATTATGCATAATTTTTATTTTATTAAGATTTGGAACAAATTTAAACATTTATACTGATTATTTTTAGTTATTCGATTCAAAATTCTTTCTTCCTCAAATTAATCATTATTTAGGTTATGGACTATCTTGAAAAACTTTTATTGATAGAAAATTTTTATTTTATAAATATATATTATTTACTTTCCATTTTTTTATACTTTTATTTTTGTTTTTCAAATTATTTTATTTTTTATTTTTATTCTTTTTATTTCACGTTTAAATAAATATCCGTTTTTATATGTATTGTAACATGTATTTCTCTTTCGAACTTTTTTTTTCACAACAATTTTATTTATCCCACTTCCACTATTTTAGACTATTTGTTAGTTTGTGGTGATGGCAATTTGTGATATTTAGCCTGGTATATGCTACCAAGTGATGAGATCAAATTGTTACTAGCAAAATAATTCGACTTTTCTTAATTTTGTTCGGGGCTAAGAAATAAAAATATCTAGTTAGAATTTTTTTTTTTTTTTTTTTTTTTTTTTTTTTTTTTAATTTATTTCTTTTTCCATTAACATCAACATTAATTATTATTTTATTCAAAAAAGAGGCGAAAGAATATATATATATGTATGAGAAGAAGATAATTGAGGATGGTATTTTTATAGTGAATCTATGTGTAGGTATAGATAGTAAATTTTATATTGATGTATTCTTTTGAAATTGAAATTTGTAACGTTATATATATATATATATATATATTAGTAAATATTTTAAAGAAGTTAGCCTTTTTATTAAAATATTTTATCACTATATAGACAATAATACAATTTTTTATAGTTTTATTTTATGATAAGATTAATATAATTTTTGATAAATTCCAGTAAAGATTAAAATTTTTATAATCATATACAACCGAAAATTTTTTATGATTTGAAAAAAAAATAAGTAAAAAATAAATGAAGTTATTTTTTTCCGCAAAATTAAAAATTTGAAAAAGAAAGGTTGGATCAAAAACTTGGAACAAATAAAATCGCAAGGATTCATCAATAAATTCATTTGGGCGCTTAATGACATCTTTTGGCTTGATGGCAATAAAAATTTCTAATCGCGAGTCGATTTGGCTTACAATAAAAAAAAACAATAATAATGATTTTTCTGCGGATGCTCTCCATCAAATCTCATGTAATTTTTATTGATAATTGATAAACTGGGAAAAAATATTTCAAAATAATCAATGAAATCTAAATTTAAAATGTTGAATGATTGTCAACAATCATTTCCATCAATTTCGGCAATAATAAATGAAGCATTAATTTGTTTCATAAAAATATGCAGTCCATTTGTTACAGATCGTTGTCTGCATGATAAATGATGATTGACTTTTTTTTATACAGAGTTGTATAATGATTCGGGTCATAATAATGGTACTATTTTAAATTGTGATATTTATTTCTAGATTATTCCAACCATACAATTTTAAAATACCTTTCGAAATCGATGATAATCGGCCGTTTTGAGGCTAATTGAATCAATTTTTAGAAAAAGAATAAAGATAATTATAGGCAATTAAATACCTAGATTTACTAATTCATAAAATTTCATCATCTGCTTAAAGTTGAGATAAGGATAATCAAACAAAGGAGCACATGATCTTTTGAATAGTTTTGGGTAAAAAGTTTCACCTTTTTATTTTCTTTTACAAGGAAAAAAAAATTTCTTAATATTATTCGATTTTAATAAGTTTATATATTTGTTACAACAATCTTTATTATTTCAAAAAAGCAAAGAATCTTTCATCTAATTTTTTGAATTAAATTTAAGGCTAACGCTATTCACACAATGCCTTTCATCTTCTGGTGTGTGATTAAAACCTTCCCCCTAAAAAATAATCGGATTAATTTTTATTAAACAAATTAAACAATAAAAATAAAAATAAAATAAACCTTGAAAACGTGACCCAAGTGACCACCACATGCAGCACAAGTGATTTCGATTCTCTTCATTCCAAATGTATTGTCTTCTTTACGATTTACAGCACCTTTTTAATTATTTTTTTACCAAATATGAAAATTATTTTAAAGGATTAAAGGGAGACAAGGAAATTTTTTTTTTGTTGTTTCAAATTAATCACCTGGAATAGCCTCAAAGAATGCGGGCCAACCACATCCTGAATTGAATTTAGTATTGGAATAATAAAGTGGTGTATCACATGCAGCGCAGTTATAAACTCCTATTGTAAGATTATAAAAAAAGAAGTTCATTTATTTGAATAAATTTGGTTTAAATAATCATTTTATTTTTTTACCTCTTTCATCGAATTTATTGTATTCACCAGAACCCGATTTTTCAGTCCCTTTTTGTCTAATGATACGAAATTGTTCAGGTGATAAGATTGCACGCCATTCTTCTTCTGAACGTTCCTTTGACATTTTAATATTATTTAAACTTCTTTTATTCGAAAAATTATGAAAAATTTGGATTTTTGATGAAAGGATTAATTTACAATGAATGTTTAAGGGTTGAATTAAGATTTTCCTTTGAAAAGTTTTATTAAATAACATTTGAAAACAATTGAGGAAAAAAAAAAAAAACATTTCGTTTATATATTGTGGAAGATCTTATTTAGCTTAGGGTATGATAACTTCCATCTATAGTTATCATTATACGTAATATCAGTTTAATATCGCTTTTAGAAATTCATTCTAATAACCCAAAACAAGTACTTATGATTATTATTTATTTTATTTACAAAAAAAGTATTTATAAATTCATTATGATTATTCTGAATTAGGGTATTTTTTGTTCGTCGTATGGTTTTTCTCAAAAGTCAATACCACATAATGGTAATATTGAATTCAAAAAAGACAAGGAATATACAACGTTCTTAAAAACTTCACAAATCCAAGTCGATCTTTCCCCCGTAAAGGAAAAAGCTCAAGACCTAGAAATGGTCGGCTCCAAGCTTTTTTAAATGGTTCGTTGACTGGAAATATACACCATCACTATTATTTCATGTGCTTCCTTATGTCAATCGATAGATCACCTAACCCTAACAACTAAATGTAAAAAAACAATTAGGAAGGGAAGGCAATACATCATCGAACCAATGTAAAAAAAAAGTAAAAATAAATAATGTATTGATTATATAAATTCGATCAAAAATTATGGGATTCAATTTCGATTGCCATCTGAATTAACATAATTTATGTCACGCCCGGCCCGAATTTACGTCATGTTAACTTTTTGTAAAGCATTAATGTTATTTTTGAATGAAACTTTATTTATTCTCTTAGAAAGTAATAATACCTTTTATGTTTATTCTTGTATGTATATCATTTATATATTTTAAAAAAAATTGAAATATAGAAATGATTGAAAAATTTTAGCGAGAATGATAATAAAATTTCCTTATAATATTTTATTTATTAATTATCTTATATATAAAATGTTGAAGAAACAAAACAAAAAAAAAAGAAAAGTTCTAAGAAATTTATTATAATTGATTAATTAATCAATAAATTAAACAAATGATTACATCAAGGAAAAAAGGATCAAAAAATCAAAATTTGGAATGTAAACCAATTAAAGGAAAACATATGCGAATTAAAAGGAATAAAAAAGATTTAGGACAAAGGTAAGATAAGAACGAACAATTTCAAAAAAAAGAAATTATTATTAAAATTAAATTAAATGAAACGAAATTATTTACAAAATGAATTTGATAGCCTGAAAAGCAATTAAAGGACGAATTGCAAAATCCTGAGATGATTTTGATCCACATAGATTAGAAAGGGAAATAAAATAACAAAAGCAAAGGAAGAATAAATCTAATTATCTCAGTTGAAACCGTTTCGGCAATAAGTGCATCATTTTATTTTCATAAGAAATTATAAATGTCTGGAAAATTTTATTCCTCAAATATTAGATTTAAAAAATAAACTTTTTGTCTTGTTTTGCTAGAATATACATAATCTATTCTTCAATTACAGTCGACCCGGAGACTATATAAGAGATGACTATATAGGAGGTCGACTGTATTAAATATATTAGGTTTTTTTTTATAAATAAAATATATACAATTAATCCTTTTAACTCATTATCTATAAACACAGCACAATACAAACTTATTACACAATCTCCCGAATACTTCGTACAGATAGAGTCTTATGATGTTACTCTATTGAAGAATTTGATATGTTTGCACTATTACATATATTTTGATCGTTCACTCCATTAACATGAAGTAAATCCAACATCATTTCAGCTTTTTTTCGTTTTCCATATAATTTCCCTTCTCTTCTTGCGGTCGCCAAATAATTCGCTGCTTTAAGATGATGTCTTTCCTCGGCAGCTCGAATCCACCCTACAGAATTTTCTATTCTTATGTATTGAATTGCTGCTCCAAATATCGCTGCTGTAACTACGAATGCTGCAAAGTATGGATTAGACATAAACCTCTCTGTTGTAGAAAATTCGCCCTTGTATGTATCTTTATCTGCTTCCCATCCTTGATAATATGCATAACTTGATCCTTTAGAAAATCGACTTCCATATGACCCATTATATGTTGCGGCGTTTTGAACTACTGGCGAATCCCATCCAACTCCATATCTAAGGTACATTGCTTTTTTCTGTCGATTATTCAAAATCTCGTATGCTTTCACCACTTTTCGAAATCGTTCCAATGCAGCTGGTGAATTGTCACCACATTTATCTGGATGATGTGTTTTAACTAATTCATAATATCTGCTTTTTATTTCTCCGTCGGACGCCGTTCTTGGTAATGCGAAAATATCAAACGGTGTGGGTGATAGTATTGTTGTCCAATCCTTTTGTGCGTCATAAGTTGTAACGTAATAACGTTCGTTGAACGATTTCCTTAAAAAGGAATGTACTCCAATTCTTTTAGTAGTTCGTTTTGTTGAAAATTGTTTTGGTTTAGGAACTAAAACTCGGAAAGGCATCTTTTAAAACTTGCATTTGCTAGACCGTCTTGTCATTTAATAACCTATCGGTTCATAGCGCATTAGAAAAAAAATGTCCGTTATTAAAATTAAAAATCACAAGAGCTCGTAAACTGAATTAAACGTTAAAGATGCGTCACAGTCATTATTTTATTAGTAATGTTGAAGTATATTAATAATCAGTTACACAAACACGCCGCAAAAAAAAGATCTATAAAATAACTCGAAAAAAGCAGATCAAAAAAGACAAATTTCCTGTCCTGCAAGCTTTTAGTAAAAATAAAATGCGTCCAAAATCAAAGAAATTGACGGGGCTTGGAAAAGCCATTATCAAAGATCGATTTAAAGGAAACACAAGGCCAAGAGACGGCGATAATTTCTTGGTATTTACCTGTTCTTATTTTCCAGTTTGAACCGTTTCCAATGCATATATTTCGAATATTAATGAAAATTAAACAAATAGCATACCACGGATTTGGATGACGGAGCGAGTTGGACAAAATTACAATCTATAACTCAACAGCGAGATTTGGACGAATTTTTGAGTACAGCTCAATTGGCGGGAACTCAGTTTACTGCTGGTAATTTTTTTTTTTCATTTATTCTTTCTATTCTTTCTCAATATTTAATTGGAAGATAATGTGAAATAACTTCAAATGTTATAAACTGAAGGATGATGTCAATTCTTAGAATTGACATAATTTATTATTATATAATTATAATTATAATTATTATAGAAAGGTTGAATATCAAGGTGGTTACAAACACCTATAATAATCCTTTTCTTCTAAGTTCCGAAAAAGAGAAAGAGGTTTTAGCAAGACAAGAAGCTAATAAAGAAAAATTAGTAATACCAAGAAGGTATATTATAGAACTTAAATCAAAGAATTAATATTTGTTCTTAATTAAAATCATTGCTATTTACATCCTTTATTCTATTAGGCCAAAATGGGATCAAGCCACTACACCTAGTCAATTAGAATTGAACGAAAGAGATTCATTTTTACGGTGGCGGCGTAACTTAGCATTGTACGTACTCATTATCATTAATCTTATATCCGTTGAAATATAATTTTTAATCTTGGGTAAACAATTAAATAGACTTCAAGAGCAAGGTGAATTTCTTTTAACACCATTCGAACGTAACCTAGAAGTATGGCGTCAACTCTGGCGCGTGATTGAGAGATCAGATTTGGTGGTACAGATTGTTGATGCAAGGAATCCATTATTTTTTCGATCAACGGATTTGGAAAAATACGTTATAGAAGTTGATGAAAAAAAGAAAAACTTATTATTAATTAATAAAGCAGATTTATTAACTGCCAATCAAAGGTGAATATTTTCCAAGATCAAGTGGTTATCAGTTTAGTACTCTAAACTTATGTCGTCCATTCTGCAATTTTCTTCAAAAGGCAACTTTGGTCAGATTACCTTGATTCGCAAGGTATTCGATACATTTTCTTTTCCGCTGCTCTTGCACAAGAGGACCTCGAAAAGGAACAATTGAATGTTTCTGCTGATAATGCATCTGAATTTAAGGATAACAGCGATGATGAAAAGGTAATAACCGGTAAAATGAATATCCTTAGAATTACTAATACGAATCACTAATTTATTTTCATATTGGAAAAGGAAAATGTGGAAATTTATCCTCATGACAATATTTCTAAAGTCTTACCTGTCTTCGGAGGCAATGAAGATGCTAAAGATGACGCGATTGAACATTCAAAAGGTTCTTCTTTGGAAGATAAACACATCGTCAATCAGAATGAAAAAATTTGTATTAGAACAACTAAAGACTTGATTTCTTTATTAGTTGCTGAGGCTGCAGAAGTCGAAGGTAACCCTTCAAAAACAACATTCAAATATTATCATGTAATTACAATTATTCATTAAATTATAGTGATCTAATATACGACCCTTCTCTAATAGATCAAACTGAACCAGATAAAAAGCTAACAATTGGTCTAGTTGGATATCCAAATGTTGGTAAATCTTCAACGATAAACGCTTTACTTGGAGAGAAACGAGTTTCGGTTTCATCAACTCCAGGAAAAACCAAACACTTCCAAACCATTCATCTTTCACCCTCATTAATTTTATGTGATTGTCCCGGATTAGTATTTCCAAATTTTGCTACGACAAATGCTGATATGGTTTGTAATGGAGTATTGCCAATCGATCAATTAAGAGAATGTACCGGTCCTGCGGCATTGGTTGCGCAGCGAATACCCAAATCTGTTCTTGAAGCCATGTATGGTATCAAAATTCGTATTCAAGAAACGGAAGAAGGTGGAAATAGTATACCAACAGCAGAAGAACTGCTTGTTGCTTTTGCAAGTAAGGGTTTATCGTTTAAAATACGGTAGATGGTTAAATAGAGTTTAGTAAATATTTTAACTCGCGTTTGTCATAATGGTATTTAGTCGCGAGAGGATTTACGAAATCGGGACACGGAAATCCTGATGAATCACGAGCAGCACGTTATATACTCAAGGACTATGTTAACGTACCTATCAGATTTTTTTTTAATTTTATTTACGAATTTGATATTCTTTTTTCTCACATTAATGTTTTTTACATATAGGGCAAACTTCCATATTGTCATCCACCACCGACTGGAATATCATCAGAGAAATTCAACTCAGAGTTACATAACTTACAATTATATACAAAAAACAAAAAGAAAATCACATCAAACATAACACAGGATGGCGATGATATACCGTCATCTTTTACGAAAAAAATAAATGTAGGTACAAAATCACAAGCACTTGATCAATCATTTTTTGATGATCAAACACCATCACCAAAAATCAAAGGGAAATTTGCCGGAGAATTTAGTAGGGTTAAATTGTATCCTATTCATAGCACACTTGATGATGAAGGAAAACCAATTGATAAAGGTGGTTCAACTTCATCTTCAATTAGTGCAAATGCTCAACCTGATAAAAAACACAAAAAAGGAAGAAAGAACGTAAAGAATCATGGTGCAAATGGTTACAATATTTAATCAGGTCAATTTTTATGGTAAAATTATTTAATGGTTGGGTGATTTGATGAAATATTTATTCAAAGTGAAAAAAATGAACATCGATTCAAATAAATGGAACGAATTAAATTTTCTTTATTCACATTTTGATTCTTCATATGTGCGAAACTACCTATGAAACTTCCAAAGCATAGTTAGGAGGTTTCCTTGCACTTTCTCGTCAAATATTTTTTGATTGAATGATTAGATGGGTCTTTTTCAATTACTTTTTTTTCTTTTCCTCTGGTTGTTTTCTTGCGACCTGTTTTATTCTTTGTACCGATATCTGTATTAGAACTTTTAATTTTCTTTGATGTTGACTGATCAGTAGAATCTTCAATTCCAGGCCAAGTACAATTATCAATTTGATCAGAGGAAATCAAGCCTTTGTCATAAAGGATTTGTCTAGCAGGTTTCCAATGCCATCTTACAATCGAAGGATAAAAACCGAGAAGATGGGGATAGACATTTCTTTTTAACCATTGCTTGGTTTTTTCATTAGGATAACCAGAACCGTAATCGTACAAGTCGGGATCAGTTAAATCGTTTTCAATAAAGCTCCAGTCTCTTAAAATATGATCCCGCGTGATTTTAGCGCAAATACTTGCTGCGCTAACAATAGGAAATTTATCGTCAGCAGCCTTTTCAACGATTATTGTTTGTTGAGGAAATTGTGCTTTAAGTAAATTTTGGTATTTTTCTGGCGATCCAACTGTATCAACATAAATTTTTTCAACATTTACATTGGTATTAATAATTTCACGTATAAGTTGTATAGTTGATGAGTGAGATTGTTTGTTGAGGTTTATATTATCTCGTATAGTCATTGTTGAAATGTCTTGAGGGGACAAACAATGGACTCCCCATCCAATATCATCTTGATTAGTTATAATACGTTGAAGTAATGATTCTCTCGTTTTTTCGTTTAATTTTTTACTATCTTTGAATTCCAAGTCTATCAACGTCTCGTATTTGGAGATGGCACAGTACGCAACTCCAAAACACATAGGACCGAGGACTGGTCCTCGACCGGCCTCGTCGATACCAAGAACGCATGGTTCTTTAGTCATCAATAGCGTTTTTGGTGTTGGTGAGTAATACGTATAAGATTCAGTCATAGGTCCAGTTCGGACCGAAGGAAATTTATACATTTTCATTCTCGACAAGAACGCACCTGAAATAAAATAATAATAAAAAAAAAACCAAACATTAAATTATTATTTTTGGACGTGTTGATCTCGCGTTTAGGGATGCGATCTCAGGGAGACGGATTGGATCGAGATCCGATCATATGACCGATTTCGAAGGTTGGGATGGACCGGATCGGTCCGTCACGATAAGAAATAGATAATTATCTTTTAAAGTTTGAGATTTGAGAAAAAAGTCATTTTAAACGTTTTGAAAAAGTTTAAAAAGTTTTTAAATTTTTTAATTTACGCGTTAAAATAGGTTTTCTTAATAGCGTTCATCATTAGTTCCCGCTCAAGATTGAGTCGTTTTTTTCCGTTACAAAATAATTGAAATTACTGCGCTTTGCCGAATTGATCCGTGTTTGGAGAAATCAAAAGTGACGAATGTATTTTGATATTTATAAAAAAATAATTTGATTATTTAACAGATATGTAGTTTTTTTTCCGCAACATTTTCAACTATTCATTGATAAAATTGTAATATAATTTGCTAATAAATAATGTATAGTATGTGTTTTTATATAAAGCAAATGGTAAAAAGGCTTTTTTTCAACAAAAATTTTCTAATGTTAAATCCAAGAATAAACGAGATGTTAATGATAGGTAAAATACAAATCACGCATTTCTTTCACTAAGTATTGCATCTCGCCAATAGTACCCAACACATATTCTCTCTTAATCATTATCATTGTTCTCTTTAACATAATGTAATTCTTTGATTGATGTGCGAAAATTGGTTTTCTGTCGGTACACCTAAATTTACAATAATACGTTTCTAAAAGAATGTTTCGAAAAGAAAATAATTCTAAAAATAACATGATTACTTAAACAAGTATGGCTTTTTTACAATAACGGAATATAATATCATCTATAATTAAAGTTCTTTTATCATTCATTATTGGATCAAATATTTTAACAATTGTGTTACCGTATATTCAAACATGTCAAACATGGAGGAGGATCAAAATAGGAATACAGCCATTCATTGGTTCGGCTGTGCTTTTAATTAACAAATAAACGAATATTTAAAAAATCAAAAATGTTGTTAATATGTGCTCGGGCCCACAGATCCGATTGGACCAAATTTTATCTTGTTATTATCGCACAAGAGAAATCGAAAACAAAGTTCGCGTTGTTTTAACCTATATTTGACACGTGTGACAAAATTTAAAAAAAAAAATTTTATTTTCATCACTAGTGTTCTCAATTATTCAGGAGACTACCAACACCTCTTTTTATGTTCACCTTTAATGTCGAGGAGACCGACAAACTGCAAAAATTTACTATTCAAATAATTTATGTAAACTTATACCTGTAATTACACTAATGAAAAAGAATCGTATAATTGTTGGAAAACAGGTAAATGCACCCAGGAGTATTGTGTAAGAAAACAGACGGGTATTATAGATGGAAGTCATGTGATCATATGATATTATAAATGTGCAAAAAACGCACATAAAGAAATATTTTATCTCATTTTCTTTTATTCAACAATTCGTTTTACACAAACACAATTATTTTCTTAAACTTTCAATATTATCATAAATGCCTTAAATTGATATACCTGCAAATTACCTTTTCGGAGTCATCCTCAAACTTTAAAATCTCATTCGTTCTTTTTAATAATTGTGATATTAATTAATTAATTAATTAGAAATAAATAAATAAATAAATAAATATATATATATAATATGTAATCGATTGATAATTCGAGTACAAATTTTCAAGGTAAAAGTTCGGAAAAGGAAACAGCCACTTGCAACGTTTGTCAAGTTCTTACTATAAAATTAAATTTTTAAAGTTTGATGAATTTTAAGGTCGGTCAGTAGAACATAATCCCATTTCTATTTTTTGTCTCATTATATTTATTGCGGAATTCACATAAAAAAGATACCAAATTCCAATAATAATTAAGATTTCATTTATATTAGCACACAACAACTCAAGGATTCCATCATTCTATTACGTTAATTTAAATTAGAACATTGGTTTTCACAGGGTTAAATGTTTATCTAATATGTTCCATTCCATGATTTAAATAGATTTTATTATAATTCTAACTCTAGACTAATTTTCTAATTTTAATGACATTTTCAAGGTGTAAGCTGTTTTTATTAAGGTTACCTGGCAAAAAACCCTCAGGTGATAAATTAAAACTAGTTAAGAATCATGGCGTCAAAAACATTAATCTTTTAATATTTTATCATAGATACCGGTGACTACATGAAAATTTCTTATTGCATCTAGATATAAAAAAAAAAATGCGCGATGCGATGATATACAGTATCCGATCATGTCATTTTGACATATTTTCTTAAAATTTCTTATTAATAATGATCTATCGGTAGTAAATAAATTAAAAATATATATACTTTCAGTGCGGTATAATTAAATTTTGATTGGTTTATTAATCCTCGGGTATTATTCAAAATTTTGATTTTTTTATCCCGATACTATTTTTGGGGTATTATAATAAGGGGAGATACTATAGGCAGCACATAACCTATTTTCATAAGCTAATTGCTGTTGTTTATTATTAAGATTACAATATTTATATGATATTTTATCGAACAAACTAATATTAATTGCTATTGGGAATAGGTGAATCGGGTGGATCTTTTGGGTGCCATTTTTAAGACCTAAAATGGGTGGTGTGGCGAATAGAAGTGAAGTCAAGAATAAAGTAAAAATTACTTGCTTTGAGCTGATCGTGCTCATGATGCTATCGACTTTGATGGTTTAAAATGAAGACACAATAATTCATCCATCACCTGATTCTTGATATTTATTGATTTTAATATTAATTAATAATGAATGGTTGTTATCTATTAATCCAATGTCAAGAAGATTATTTCTGCTCAAAATTGTATTTGAACTAACTGAATAATGTTTATTTCCATTAATAGGCTTGGCAATATTGAGTAAATAATCGAATGGATGGATGTTGCCTTATTACGCATACACTTTAAGCATAATATTAAATCTGAATTTCCAATATTTTTTTTATTTAGTATAAATTTGAAAAGTTATTAATATTTAACAACTGAATTGTCGACTATCTTAGCTGTTATATTTTTGCAAGCAAGAACATATTATTTTCTTAAACATCATTCTTCATTCACAAACCCTATATTTTCTTTATTATCAAATATGCTAGCGATAAACCTTTTTCTGCTCATTTTGATTATATATTTGAAAAAATAAGAAAAATAAAAGTTCAAAATAGAACAATTTATAATGATAATTTTCGTATATACTATTTCTATTCCTTGACAATCCAACTGCATCTTATAATTATTGTAAGAATAACCTTGATTTTGAAATTGATTCAAATAAATCATAATTCTTTCCAGTAACCAAGATTTGTCTTTAAGAACATAAATCATCTTCGCCTGATCATATACTAGTACTACAAATTCTTTAAATTGATTAATGAATCCTATCAAATCATCAGCTTGATAATGAATAAGACAACGAGTTTGATGTGTCTCTGTGAGTTGCGTTTCATAAATTGTAATATTTACAAAGGTAAGTTCAAGCGAATATACAGTGGCGCTCAAAAGTATTGCATCACCTGAACACAAATTTTAAAATGGTAATATCTTGTGATTAAAAATGCGCAGAGTTACA